GGAAACGTAACACTTTTTTACTTTTCCTGATAAATTGTTTCATCTGAGATGCTCCAAACTTTAATCTACAGTTGAAAAATTTAATTCTGTAACGTTTTTGCAAAGATCCTGCTGGTGTTCAGTAATATTTTTGTTGAGAAAAATGGAAAATTAGAAAAGTGCCTAAGTGGTTATGATCTTCCGGATTTCTTGTGTGTGAATAGTTAAGGTACAAATCAGTTCAGATCTGTGGAAAATCGTACAATAAGACAATTACCGATGGACATTAGCAAGATGTTGAATGAAAAATGCTTTAATTCGCGTTGTGAAAAATAGTTATTCTGATGTAAACAAACGGTTTGGTTGGCGTTTCTTCTCGAACTCGCGTGGCGCACTCTACGTTGGTGGTGCATTAAAAAGGCGTATTTTAAATCTAAAATTTTTTGATGAGAAAAATTGGCAAATCAAAGTTGGCACTCGTGGAGAATAGAAGAACTATGAAAGTGATGATGGTTTCAAAATTTTACACGGTGAGGTATACGGGTGCAATCTTAAAATGCTTGTATTTGGCAAATGGAGCATTTTATATAAATCTGGTAAGTGGTACGTTTGTAGAAAACTTAAGGACTACTCAATAGACATATAATATAGAAAAAATAATTTCTTCTCCGATTTGTATGTGTATACATAGATTTCAGCTTTTCTACAACTGTAGCAGCAACCAGATTTAAATAAAACGCTCCATTTGCGAAATAAAAGCATTTTAAGATTGCACTCGTATACCTCCCCGTGGAAAATATTGAAACCATCATCACTCTCATAGTTCTTCTATTCTCCACGAGTAACAACTTTGATTTGCCAATTGGCAAATCAAAGTTGGCACTCGTGGAGAATAGAAGAACTATGAGAGTGATGATGGTTTCAAAATTTTCCACGGAGAGGTATACGAGTGCAATCTTAAAATGCTTTTATTTTGAAAATGGAGCATTGAACTTAAATCTGGTTGTTGCTACAGTTGTAGAAAAGCTGAAATCTATGCATACACCTAAAAATCTGAAAACAAATTAATTTTTCTATTTTATATATCTACTGAGTAGTCCTTAAGTTTTCTACTAACGTAGTATTCACCAGATTTAAATAAAATGCTCAATTTGCAAAATAAAGGCATTTTAAGATTGAACTCGTATACCTCTCCGTGTAAAATTTTGAAACCATCATCACTTTCATAGTTCATCTATTCTCCACGAGTGCCAACTTTGATTTGCCAATTGGCAAATCAAAGTTGGCACTCGTGGAGAATAGAAGAACTATAACAGTGATGATGGTTTCAAAATTTTCCACGGGGAAGTATACGAATGCAATCTTAAAATGCTTTTATTTTGCAAATGGAGCGTTTTATTTAAATCTGGTTGCTGCTACAGTGGTAGAAAAGCTGAAATCTATGTATACACATACAAATCGGAAAAGAAATTATTTTTTCTATATTATATGTCTATTGAGTAGTCCTTAAGTTTTCTACTAACGTAGCATCAACCAGATTTAAATTAAATGCTCCATTTGCAAAATAAAAGCATTTTAAGATTGAACTCGTATACCTCACCGTGTAAAATTTTGAAACCATCATCACTCTCATAGTTCTTCTATTCTCCACGAGTGCCAACTTTGATTTGCCAATTAAGATTTATAAAATTGGCAAATCAAAGTTGGCACTCGTGGAGAATAGAATAACTAAAAGTGTGATGATGGTTTCAAAATTTTACACGGTGAGGTATACGAGTGCAATCTTAAAATGCTTTTATTTTGCAAATGAGGCATTTTATTTTAATCTGTTTAATGCTACGTTAGTAGAAAACTTAAGGACTACTGAATCAAGTCCCCGGCAAGGTGAAAGATAATCTTAGTTTCACGTACCCACTTGCAAATAGTAGATGTCGCCACACAACGTAAACAAAGGGACTGTCCTTCACCGCCGCAATGGTATTTCTCTATTGGCGTCTTGCAGTGAAACTTTTCCAAGCTTCCGCCTCCTACATTTCGAAGTGAGAACTACTAGAAGGAGGATAGTTTCCAAATTTTCAAAGTAAAACAGACGATTTTTGGGGCAAATCGGTCCATAAAGAAAAACTAATAATTTCTTGTGGAAACTTTTGCTTGAATCGTGTAAGAAAATGTGTTTGAAAACTAATTGTTATTGTTTCGGTATGGATCGGAGATGTTTTCATGGAAAATAATGCATAACAAGTTTGCACCCACAGCGAGAGGTTACCTCCTGCGCAGCTGCATTTTTCGGAAAATTGTGAATATGTGCGATTTCCACTAAGATGAAAGTGTAAATTAAGTGAATTTACTTAGGAAAGGTTGTATCATGCTGGTGGTAATGGAGAATTGGTTGTATAGGACGCCAATATTCAATAAATGTTCATTTTGGCCTTTTCTAAGCAAACATATTGATACTCACAATTTTCGACGGAAAACGCAACGGAACTTGCTTTACTCAACACGCACCATACTATAAAATGGTGCCGGATGGTTTTGAAAGTGATAACAACATGACAAATCATCTTTATTTTGAGTAATTGAGCAATTTACTTCTGTTTACATCATATTTACGATGCAGCATTGATGGAGCCGCGAAATGAAATGAATATATCTAATGAAAGTTCAACTGGAAAAGTCAAAGATGCACATCAGTCTGATCGTAAAAACGTTTTCTTCTTCAATTCGACTGTTATATTGGAAGGATTTTACACAGGCTTGATGAAAATTATGATTCAACGCTAATTTTCACGAATTTTATATGCAGTCTGTCAACATTATCATCATCATGCAGTGGCGACATCTACGTCGAGCGTTTACGGCAATCTTCCAATGGGAAGGCAACTTTTTGTTTCACCATGTGTGGATGTCAAACAACAAGCAAGAATGCCATGTGAAAAGAGCGATTTATGATTTTCGTGGTGAAATGAATTAAATCCAAACAAATTGAAACAGATTCATGGAAGTTTTTCTTATATAATCAAATAGAAATAAAAATACATTGGTTAATTCTATTATATTTTGCTCTTGAATATTATTAGTCTTGAGAATAATGTTTCTGAGCATACTTGAGCGGTGAAGACTTGCAATAAAAAGCCGTATCAATAAAAAGAGTTTACTTCCCCATCTTTCTATTGAGGGTGAAAAAAAAAAATACAAAATTGATTCTTATTCGCGGTGAGTAGCAGGTTTGCTTTGTGAACACTAACATTTCGTATATCCATTTAAACATGAAGAAGTAAATAAAAATAAATTAAAATAAGCGTCTCTTAACAAAAGATATTCATAATGAGCTTCTAAAACGAATAAATTTCAGTGATTGTCTTTTGTTACACCCGTCCGTTTCATTAACATTGTTACCCACCAACTTGAAGTTTCAAGAAACAGATGTGGCTATCTATTTTTATGTTCAGTATTTTATTTACTGTACATCATATCTGCATTCGCCCTATTCAGATAACACTTCTGAAATTTGTGAGTTTGACAGATCCACCAGCATCAAATTTTCGGGGTACACTGGAAATGTACTGGACTTGTCAAGTTGCCCCCGGGTTGTACTGAATAGACATATAATATAGAAAAAATAATATCTTTTCAGATTTTTAGGTGTATACATAGATTTCAGCTTTTCTACCACTGTAGCAGCAACCAGAATTAAATAAAATGCTCCATTTCCAAAATAAAAACATTTTAAGATTGCATTCGTATACCTCCCCGTGTAAAATTATGAAACCATCATCACTTTCATAGTTCTTCTATTCTCCACGAGTGCCAACTTTGATTTACCAATTGTCCCATCCGGATTTTTAATGTGTGGTTATTTCAACTGTAAATCAGTTCAGATCTGTAAATAATCGAAAAATAAGACCACTCCCGATGGAAATTTGCAAGTTGTGCAATCAAATGTAGATTATTTTGAGTTTTGAAGATCGTCATTGAAGAATCAAAGTGACGATTGACTCACAGATGGCGAGTGGGTTAAAATGGTAATGACGTTTTGATTTCTGTCAAATTGTGTGATATATTATGTGCATCATCATTTTTGTAAATATGGACCAGTTAGGTCTGTGCCACAAATGGGAAAGAAAAAAAAAATCATTTTTGTAATTACAGATCTGAAACTAGGTGTCGCATAACCAGTTTTGGCTTTGCTTTGATACGCCTTTTTATGATGTAAACAAATGGATTGCATGACATTTCCTCTCAAAATCGGCTAGCGCACTCTACGTTGATGGTGCATGAAAAGAGCCTATTTCAAGCTAAACATTGCTTAGGTCCTAAGTAACATTGACAGATTCTCTTGGTCGACTTTCTCTTTGTATTCCCAGGGCCATGTAAAGACATTCCCAGGTATCTTCAGCACATAGATCGATAAAAGAATCTTTTGTCTAGCATCTAATATGACAAACACAACAAGAAACGCTTTTGTGCTCAAGTTATTAAGAGCAACCGTAACGGTCGTTGTCATTTGCGCGACTATTTTAACAGCGCACAGCGCTCTCATTTTAGTTTAGTCACTCTTCTCCACACCGGTCGCTGCTATCGCGGTTATCAATTTACTCGCCGTAGTCCGTACCGGTAGTGAGCATTTTGACATTTCTACGAATAGCAACCTTTCTCTTGAGCTGCTATCGCGCTGCTAAATTTGGTAACGCGCTTCTCACCGAGAAGCCGACTGCTATTTTAGTTACTCGTATGGCAACCCCCGATACGGTAGCTGCGCTATGATGAGGGCTGCTAAAATGAGTTTAGCAGCGTACCGTTACGGTTGCTCTAACGAAATAGAAATTCGACGAAGAGAATCGATCAATATTACTTAGGACCTAATGCAATGTTCAGCTTGATTTGCGTTTCGGCTAAAATCTGCAATACTTGCGCATGACGTCCACCTACATGTGAAACTTGAAAAGGCCTTTCTAGCATTCTTCCCAGAGGATCCACCAGATGCCAGTTCAAGTCACCCTCCGGCTGTCACCTTTTTCTTTTGACATCTCAACTTCCGTCTCCGCGCCGTTCGACAGTCTTCTGTTCTCTTTCTAGTTTGAACGTCCAAACAAGTGAGTTGTATTAAATTTTTTGTGCCGCTCTCGTTTCGTGTCGAAAGGACTTAAAAGTAAGCTTTTTTCCTGTTTTAACTACTCGATTTCGATGGATCAATTCGCGCTTGATTGGATTGCCAGCGTAGTTTTTCGATTTATACGATTAAATTGAGTGAAAATCGGAAATTTTCGGTCCACGCCATAAGCCACGAAAAAAAATAAAATGTCAACACGCGTTCGCTGACCATTTCATGACTCGAGTGTGACTAAACGCCAATACCTTTTCTCCGGTGGAATTTCAGAATGCGTTACGTGGCTGCATACCTCCTGGCTGTCCTCGGCGGAAACGCCAGCCCCTCGAATGCCGATATCGAGAAGATCCTGAGCTCGGTCGGTGTGGAAGCCGACTCGACCCGCGTCACCAAGGTGGTCAACGAGCTGAAGGGCAAATCGGTTGAGGAACTGATTGCCTCCGGCCGCGAGAAGCTCTCGTCCATGCCAGCTGGTGGTGCTGCCCCTGCTGCTGCTGCCGCCGCCACCGGTGGTGCCGCTGCCGCTCCGGCTGAGGAAAAGAAAGGTAAGTTGTTGAACGCATAACCTCTTTCTTGTTCGTTTCGAGGGGGAAACGTGAAAAGCTTATGTTTATACCTTTTTTTTTGTTGAATTACAGAAGAAAAGGAAGATACGGAATCCGAGGACGATGACATGGGCTTCGGTCTCTTTGAATAAGGGGTAAGTTTCGTTAAATCCTGGAAAAACATCCACTAATGAAGGAGCTGGTTTACATGATGAACAAACTACATCACCATCTTTCGACTGATAAAATCATGACTGTCAATATAGTTTCTAAACTGATGCGTTTGTTCAACGTCTAAATTAGTGCATCTGGGAATCGTTCAGATTAATAACGTGGGGTCCGTTTTCTACTTGCAGATTCAACCACATCACACAGGATGTGTCGATGACCATACGTTGGGAAGGTACAACTTATTTATTTCTGTGAAATAAATAACAGAAAAAAGGCATAAAATAAAATCAAGGAGGACACTCTTTAAAAAGCCAACCATTTTGATTTTCACAAAAATAAGGAAATTTGAGAAAGTTCGTTCCACTAGGATATCTGTATTGCAATGATTATTTAGATAACGGAGGGGGAATACATTAAATTTGGATCACAAACTGGCGATAATTCCACGGCCTTGCCGTGCTTCCGGTGTCCTGTATTCTGGCATGGATACGAATCTCCTCACCAGCCAATCGCTGACAGTTGTGGGCATGATCCGAAATAGGAAATGGTACATCCTGTAACGCCAAGGTTCACACTTGTACAGGGGTTTCGGTTTGGCATCCAGTAAAGCATCTTCGAAGCATCTCAAAACCGGATGATTCCCTGCTAGACTCTGAACCGGTTTCGCTCCGGAAATGACTCTCAAATAGGCATTGTACTCATCGAAGTAGCTGCCGTAGAATTCGGCCTGTTCCTCGCTGAATCCCGATCGCATCTGCTCGGCATAGTGCTGCTGGTTGGCACAGATGTTACTCTGCATGACCAACGATCCGGGAATAAAGTTCACCACCGGTACCCCGTAGCTAGACATCTCCAGCCGCAAGCCTTCGGTCCAATAACGAAGAGCCGCTTTGGATGCGGAGTAGACCGAGAGTCCCGGAAGGGCTTGCAGGGAACAGTGACTCGTCACGTTGATCACCCGACCACGATGTTGCCTCAACAGCGGCAGGAAGGCCTTCGTCATCTTCATCGTTCCCAGCAGATTTACGTTGATCTGCTGTTCCAAGTGTCGCTCCAGTTGCCACTCGAACTCACCGAAGCACATAACTCCGGCATTGTTGATCAGGGCAAATAGTTCTACGAGAAATTAACGTCCCTTTTTAAGAGATTTTGTTAGATTTAAAAAATCTTACCACAATCTGGTTTCGTCTTCAGAAAGTCTTTCACCTTCTTCCGGGCGCACATGATTCTTTCCTCGAGCGTTATGTCCAGCTCCTCAAGTATAATCAACCTACCAGCTTTGCCATCAATCTCCTGCAGGAGCCTGGCCCCTTCCGAGTCGGCTCGTAAACATCCGGCAAAAACGACAAATCCCATACGGTGGCACATTTGGGCAATGTTGAACCTACGTACGAAAGAACCATTGTAAAAAAAAGTTACATGTGCCTCCTGTGAGAATCGAACTCACGACCGCTGGTTTACAAGACCAGCGCTCTGCCATCTGAGCTAAAGAGGCTGACGATGCAAGTCGCCGCTCAAAGGTGCTCAAGAGTTCAACAACACGTTCACAAATTACGTCCCACTCACCCCAATCCAGAGTCACACCCGGTGACAATGACCACCGACCGCTCGCTATAGGTTCGTTTTCGCCGTTCCCGGTTTTCCAGCAGCAACAGCAATGTCCCGGCGGTGACCGTCGTCAGGCCAACGTACTTCACCAGGTTGCCGATTCCACCCCGCTGGAGGATGCTCATCACGCCGAAGACTCCGCTTCCCACACAGAACAGGGCTTCGGTGGCCAGCGATAGGAAGAAGGATGCCGCCGCAGTCCTAGTTGAGCGAGAAGCAGTTGCAGAAGCCACGAACGAAGACGATGATGCCGTGGACTCTACTGAACTTGAACTCATCCAACAAACACATTGGGAAACGGACAGGAAGTGGGAATTCAAATCTGTACACTCTTTTGAGATTCAAATTTGTGGCACCGCGATGACGACGGTAATTTTTCGAGGCGCAAGCAATGACATACTGAGATGCAAACGAGACTGGGATTTTGTTTACTGGCTGTTCTCGGACCCGACCGGGATTGATGATCGCTTTACCTTTCTTGTACCGAGAATATGTGCCGAAAGGCTTTATTATCACTTGGAAACAATGTTGCACAGTGAGCAAAAGTTAGCCACACCGCGACTAAATTGAGTATGTCGGCTGGGTAACGGTTTGTATTTTCTAGATGGAAAAAGTCTGCTGAATCGATTGGCTATGGTCCCATTATCTGGTAATATTTCCCTGTCTAGATATAGGGCCAGGGTCGACCCGAGTTCCCTGTTAAACCAAATTACGATTTTCCAGGACCGTTTACACGATTTGGCAACTGTTACAGTCAAACTTGATTAGCCAGATAGCCAGAAAATGGCCACTTTAATACACAATATTATTGGCATGCTCAATTGGCAATCAGGCCTATTCTGCGAGTCGTGTGATTCTCTACCACTAAAGAGCCTGAATTTATAAAGAAAGAGGCGACATCTTATCCATTTGACAGGTCTTCTGCTCGATTGGAATGACTTTTCCTATGACCTTGACAAATAATCGATTGTTCCAATTTTGACATGTCGTCTCTTTATAAATTCAGGCTCGTTATCTACCACCAGTGAGGTAACAACCGTGACAACAGTCACTCATAAGTCAAGAAGCTAAACATTGCATTAGGTCCTAAGAAACATTGACAGATTCTCTAAGAATATGCATTTACCTCAATACCAGGCTCAATATAGATGTCAAATGAGGATGAATTAGTTTTTATAGTGTAGGTACTAGCGTAAAGAACTGGATAAATAAAATTCTACACTCAATTTGAAGGAGTAAAACCATAGAGGTAACTCTAAGACCACTGGGTCCCGAAGAAAATCATTATTATTTTTGGCTCACTCAGTACCAGAACAACGGTCCCAAGCAGTCCCAAGCTATTTCACTCACCCCTGCATGTTCTGCATGAATCCACACACCCCTGATGTTATCTGTCAAACTTTCATAGCGAATCAAAACAAACATAGTGTAGTAATAGAATTTCAACTAGAATAGGGTACGTTAATCGTTTGCTTGGGACCAATAGGCTACTAAAGTGGTGAGCCAATTTAAAATCGTTAGTTTCGTATTGATTGTTGGTAAAACCATAGAGGTAACTCAAAGACTAGTAGGTCCTGAAGAAATGTGCTCAGCTTTTTGGCTCAGCTCTGGTACTCTCTTCGGTCCCAAGCTAATCGAACCACTCCTCGAAACATAGGAAAATCCACTAACCCCTCATTTTATCTGTCAAACTTTCATAGCGAATCAAAACAAACATACTGTAGTACTAGAATTTCGACTATAATGGGGTACGCTTATAGATTTACTTGGGATCAATAGGCTAGTCTTCGGGCTAGTCAAGTACTGAGCCAATGTAAAATCGTTAGTTTCGAATTGATAGTTGGTAAAACCCTAATTTAAAAAAAAAATGCTTGGTCTAAAATATATAAGCATTTTAAACATTCTCTCTCATACCTAACCATGGAGGATTGTTTAAACCATCATCATTTCGTTAGTTCTTGCCTTTCTCTATACGTATACGAGGTGCTACTTATTATCACCAATAATATTTATTTCTAATAATCTTACTTGGGACGTTACCGGGAAAGGCACCTGTCTGATAGGTGGATTAATCAGAGAGCTTTCATTTCCATTTTTGTCTCTGGGCGTTCTCGAGCGGCTGTTTGGAAAGGTGAGGGAGCATAAATTATTTATAGCTGAGCACATGCTCAGGGGGTCGATAAAGCAGGTAAACACATTTGCTAACGTTATGCATTGCATACATCTAGGCGCTTTCTAGACCAGTTTCAAAAACTCGCATTTTTTCACCTTCTTACCCAGTAGTTTGAGATTTTAAAGTGCTTTTAATAAATTCAATGTTTTTCAAATGTCTTTTTCACGAGAATCTTAGTATGAACAAATATTTCTTCAAGTAGGCACTGCATATTAGAACAAAATCTCGTTACAGGTGCTTCTTTGGTTATCGTTTATTTCTCACGATAGTGCATACAGTTAATTCAACAATTCAACGTTAATATCAAATTCAATCACAAAAATAATACTTAATGGATCCCCCCCCCCCCAACCCCTTGCTCATCTACCCCTGACTAGTATGTTCCTGCAGCTTGCGAATTTGATCCTTGATCTGGGCCAGTTGCCCCTCGAGGACCGCTCCCACCCTACCACTGGACTCCACCTCCGATTCCGATGCCGAATCCAGCGAGAACGAGGCCTCCAACTCGAGCAGCGGTCTCCGGTCCGGGCTCTGCTCAATCAGAATCCGCTCCACGTCCGGAGCCAGCCGGACATTGGCCAACCTGGAGGCTGTCGATCGTTTCGGCACCCCGGCATCTTTCCGACGGGCCGTTGGCTTGGTGGGAACCTTCATACGGGGAACGCTCCTGGCCGCGGATTCATGCATCCGATAGTGCTGGTCCAGTTTCTGCTGGGTGGACAGAGCTCGGCCACAGTCCGCAACGGGGCAGACAAACTTCCGAGCACCTTCGTGCTTGGCTCGGACGTGAGCAATTAGATTGCGCTCGTAGTCGTAGAACTTGGGACATCCCTCGTAGGGACACTGGAAAACTTCCTGCTCGTCGCCTTCCTTGTACTTTTGGTGCACTTGAATGTGAGCTTTCAGGTTTTTCTTGGACCGGAACTTACTCTGGCAGATATCGCACTGATATATGGTTGCGTGCTGCAGCTTTCGGTGAGCAACCAGATCGGTCCAGCGGGTGAACTCCGCCGTACAGGAGTCGCACTTGTGTATGGCGTGCGTTGTCCGATGGTTGCGAAGAGATTTCAGATTCATGAATCCCTTGTCACAGTGGTCGCATTGGTGCGGATATTGGCCCGTATGTCGGAAGGAATGATGCTTCAGTTGAAGCTTGCGCCAGAACCGTTCGCCACATTCCTGGCAGGTCCAAGATTTTCCCAGCACGTGCTTCAGGTCGTAGTGCCGGCGCATGCTCTGGTCCGTGGAGAATGTTTTCACACAGGAGGTATGTTTGCAGCGGATGACGTTGGGAGTCGCTTCCGGTGGTTTGGACGTGTGATTGGACCGGATGTGACGATTCAGATGAGCTCGGTTGGTGTATTCTTTGGCGCAGTCCGGTTCCGGGCAGCGGTATTCTCGCTGGAATAAGAAGTGTTAGTTAAAAATGGTGCAATTGAGGCATAAGGGTCAATAAGCAACTAACCACTCCGGTGTGGGCAAACCGATGCCGATCGAAATCGTCCTGCTTGCGGAATGTTAGTCCACATTCTGTACAAATAAATGGCTGTTTCGGTGTGGAGCCTTTTGCTTCATCATCCACTGTGCTGTGTTCCGGTCGATCTGGTTTTGCTGAAGTGCCATCGGTGGGGAATGCTTGTGATTCGGTTCCGGGTTCCGACGCCTGACTCGCAGGCCATTGGTCGGTATCGCTGGATTCAACTTCACTCACCATTTGCACTTTCTGTGATACTAGTTCTTTTATGTATCAATCACCTAATAATGTATGAAATTTGTGACTTATTTCACCTTGAAAATGAAAATTAAGAAAAAAATGTTTTGTTTTCCACCATAGACCGCGCGGATGCATTTACGGACCTTTTTTATGATGTTCGCATCATTTGCGCATGCGCTCCATGCGCTCGCGCTGGAACCAAAACAAGGCTATCAAAATTCGAGCAGTTTTTTATGGATATTCAAAAAGGTATTAGTCCATTTGATATAGAAGCTTAATTAACATCACTCAACGCACTCAACTAAATCATCCTCCTCTTCACGGTAGCCGCAAAATACCCAATAATGACTACATAGTAAGCATTTTCGAGGGAGACTGGGACTACCCATTAAATGAGTAAAAAGATTACCCATTTATGAGTATTTGATATTCAAAAATAATACTTACTACTTATTTTTGTAGTTGTAATTACTCATAAATGGGAAAAATTTTACTCATTTAATGGGTAGTCCCAGTTTCCCTCGAAAATGCTTACTATGTAGTCATTATTGAGTATTTTGCGGTTACCGTGTTGTGGAATGAATTGACCACTTTGTCAAGCAGTTTTGGCGTGACTTTCTACCAGCGATTTCACAAAACTGGACCAACTAATTTCTATTTTTTTATGAAACGCACAAATGTTGGCTACTTTTCTCGAGGTTCTAGAAGAAAAAATCTCAAAATAATGTTTTATTTAAAAGTTCGAGTGGTAGTAAACGTCATTTTAAGTGCTCGAATGAAGTGGTTAATTATTTAGCTGAATACAAGTTATACACACAGAATTTAGATTCAAAGGTATTTAAACAGCTGAGTTTTCAGTTATCAAGTCAGTAGTTTTTTTCTTTAACTGAAAACTCGGGAAATGGAAAAAAAATCGATGAAATGTAAAAAATTACCGTTTTAGCCAGTAAAAAACATGCTTACTTTTTCAGAAATTCAGAAAGCCTTTGCAAAGAATTAATTCACTGTGTTTAAATAACTCGAGCTGTAACTCATTTTTTAGTAAATTTCATTGAAATATTTCTGAAATAACAGTAAGTTTATTTAATTCAGATTTTACTGATATTTCAGCTATGACTTCAGCACGTTTCAGTTCAATTTTTTACGCTAGCGTATGGCATGCATGAATACATCAGGATGACAGAAACAACAGCGCTGCAATCTCTTGTAAAGTTTTGTGAAACCTCTGTTCGTATTTACGGCCCCAAATACCTACGCTATCCGAAACCTGACGATGTGGAGAGGTTGTTGCGTGTTGGAAAGAATCGTAGATTTCCAGGTTTGTTCCTATGATGGGGTCCTGTGGGACACATCCAACCACGCAAGACAATGCGCCGTATCTTCTTCGGATGTCCAGCTTTCACCTCTTGTATTGGTATTCATCCTCGCAAAACGCAATGGAAGGCACTGAACCATAAAGCGAAACGTAAACTGAACCACAAAATATAAATCGAAAAAGTGTCACAAGCAAACAAAATAGCGACCCAGAGCAGAGTTTGAGTGGGGGGCCAAATATGAAAATTCGTGATTTATTTTTTGTTGCGTTCTCATTTCCCAACCCCGTTTAGCTACTACCGGTGCGGGCATAAGTTGCTATATGGGATGGGGTTCAGAAATAGAGATAGGGAACCGTATGGGGACTCCCGTGGCGGTGCTCTTATGACAAATAAGCAAAACCCGGTTCTCGACTGCAGTCAGCCCAATTCGAGCAGTTAGTCCGCGAAAGCCTCTACTGTTGCCGCTCGAACAGCCACCCACAGCGATGCCAAACGTCAAATTTCTTCGCTAAAGTTTTTATTTACGTTTCGCATCGTCTCGTGAAGAATTCCCGAAAATTAATTGCAAATTTAGTGAAAACCCGTGAAAATCCGCCAACCGTAACGATGGCCGGCGGTTCGTCGCGTGTTCCCATCTCGATGCTGCTGCAGGACAAATCCACAGCGCCGGAAGATGACGAGGAACCGAAGAAGAAATCCCGCGAGGATTGGCGCAAGGCCAAGGAGCTGGAGGAGGCCCGTAAAGCGGGAACAGCCCCGGCCGCAGTGGACGAAGAAGGTAAGGACATCAATCCGCACATTCCGCAGTACATTAGCTCGGCACCGTGGTACTACAATACTGCCGGGCCAACGTTGAAACATCAACGGCCGCAGGACGAGCGCAAGCAGGAGTTCTCCGGGATCGATGAGTGGTATAAGCGCGGGGTGGACACCAGTAAGGTGGTTACGAAATTCCGGAAGGGAGCTTGCGAGAACTGCGGAGCGTTGACTCACAAGAAGCTCGATTGCATGGAGCGGCCACGGAAGGTGGGCGCCAAGTTCAATGGGGCAAAGATTGCGCACGATGAGTTCGTTCAGCCAAAAATCGTGTCAGATTATGACGGAAAACGGGATCGCTGGGCCGGATATGACCCGGCCAATCATCGTGAGATCGTGGAGGAGTATCAAAAGATTGAGCTGGCCAAGAGAGAACTGAGGGCACAGAAGCTGAAGGAGAATCCGGATATGGCGGATGAGGAAGGGGAAGACGATGAGGACAAGTACGTGGATGAGGTTGACATGCCCGGAACGAAGGTAGGTTGGTGGTGGTGGTCTTGGAATGGGATTCTAATCGGGTTTTAACTTCTTACAGGTGGATTCCAAGCAGCGGATTACCGTTAGGAACCTCCGAATTCGTGAGGACACAGCGAAGTATTTGCGTAATTTGGACCCGAACTCGGCATACTACGATCCGAAGACTCGTTCCATGCGTGATAATCCGAATCCGAATCTGAAGCCGGAAGAAACGGACTTTGCCGGGGAGAACTTTGTTCGCTACTCGGGTGACATTCAGAAGCACGCCCAGGCACAGTTGTTCGCTTGGGAGGCTCACGGCAAGGGAGTTGATGTGCACGTCCTGGCTGAACCGACCAAGTTGGAACTGCTGCAGAAGGAGTACGACAAGAAGAAAGATCAGTTCAAGGACGAAGTTAAAAATACCGTGCTGGAGAGATACGGCGGGGAAGAGCATTTACAAGTACCACCGAAGGCGTTGCTACTGGCCCAGACGGAAAACTACGTGGAGTACAATCGGTTCGGAAAGGTCGTGAAGGGAGAGGACAAACCGATCATTCGATCTCAGTACGAAGAGGACGTCTTCTTGAACAATCATACGAGCGTTTGGGGCTCGCACTGGAAGGACGGAGTTTGGGGCTACAAGTGTTGCGAATCTACGATCAAGAACTCGTACTGCGTTGGAGATAACGGTAAGTCATCCGGATTGGCGAGGCCTCCGTTGGACGCAGAGCCGATTTCCGGTCCCTCCCGGGTTGGTGCGTTCGAATGTCAGAAGGAACAGGAAACCAAGAGGCAGCAGGAAATCAAACAAGTCGACGACCACAACGAGAGGGGGGATGGCAGTAGTAACAGCATCAGTAGCAGCAGCAGCAGCAGTAGCAGTAGTAGTGAGTCTTCGTCGTCGGACTCGGAATCCGACGAGAAAGAACGTAAAAAGTCGAAAAAGTCCAAGAAGAAGCGCAAGAAGGAGAAGCGGCGGTTGAAGCGGGAGGAGAAGAAACGCCAGAAGCGAGAGGAAAAGAACAAAGTGAAGGACAAACTGCAGCTGGCGCTGATGGCCGAAGAGATGCACCAGAGGCGGGCGAACGAGCTGCTCAAGATGGACGAAAGGAAACGGCCGTACAACAGCATGTTCGAGGCCAAGGTGCCGACCGAGGAGGAAATGGAAGCGTACCAGATGAAGCGAAGGCGCGATGAGGATCCGATGAGTCAGTTTGATGATAAGTAGATTGGACGTTCGTTTGGTATGTGGATTAGTGTGTAGGTAGTAGTAGATGGTTTCTTCCCCTTGAATGTGATGAGTAGTTTGTTCTTAGATATCACCATCCTGGCTGGGAGGGTATTGTTGTTTTTAGGGTTTGATCTGGAAGATGGGTATCGATTCGTACAGTTCACTAAACGTTTGTTTGGGTTTCAACAACAATGGAAACACCGTAAGACGAATGCTACCTAGTTGGTTATTATTGGAGGTGAAAACCTAGCAAGCGACGAGTAATCACAGTTGCCTGGAAATAAATATATCAGAATAGTTTTTAATAAAGAATCATTCCAAGTTTGCCTACCATCCCATTAAGACGTAATTCTCAACTAGTAGTAGATCCGGTCTACGGCCATATCACATACAAGAGATTTTGGGCCCGCAGAAGTTCGACATGGAAAGATCCGGAATAGCGAAGCTAACGAATGAAAATTATAAAACCTGGAAGCTGGAGGTGGAATTTCTACTGGTACTCGAAGGACTTTGGAAGTACATCTACTGAAGCGATCTTTGCGATCTGAAGTTCCAGGAAGGCGACAACATCGAGAACCATCTGGTGGAATCTGAAAGCTTATTCGAAAATCGGTCGGAGGACGAACTGACGCTGGCCCTTGTGAATGATAAAATTATCAACGAAGTGCAGAAGCGAGGAGGAACGGTTCCGGTGGATTCATCGGTATTGAAGGTGGACGGGCAGGCGAAATTCATTGTGTGACCTGTGTGTATCAATGAGGACGGTAACACCGGGTGGTCGTCGATTTTCTGACGCTCATTGACGACCACAGCCAGTACACAACGCTGTATCTATTGCAAGAAAAGCGGAAACATTCTCCGCTATCCAGGACTACGTGCAGAAAATGAAGACACAATTCGGCAAACCGCCGAAAGTGCTGCGATCCGACCAAGGAGGCGAATAACGTGGCTCAAAGATAATGGCGTTCCTCAAGCGTGGAGGTATCCAGCAGCAGTTTACGGCAGCATATTCGCCCCCAGCAGAACGGTGTCGCGGAACGGAAGAACTGTCACTAGTGGATATGGCCAGGTGCACGCTTTTGGAAACAGGTATGCACAACCACTACTGGGGAGAAGCAATCAACACAGCGAATCATCTGCAGAACTAAAGAGACTGAATTGGGTTAATAAAGTCAGCCTCTTTATGCAGAACATGTTGCCAACGAAAGCGATTAATCAAACTCCGTTCGAGATTTGGTATGGGGTCGAACCGGATGTTTCGAACCTGCAAGTGTTCGGAACGTCAGCATATGTATTTGTTCCTGAGGTCAAGTCGATTGCTAGAGCGGATACATTCGGATGTGTGCGCACCAATCGATCCGCCGGCTTGGGATGGATCGAAATATTTCGTCTCCTTTATAGATGACTCCGAAGTCTTCGTACATTTGCAAGAGCATGAAGCCATGGTAACCACCCAGTTTGAAAAACGAATTCGCAAGCTAACTGTCCAGGGACGTGAGTATTGCTCCGGAGAAACAGAAAGCGTACCACAAACGAAAGGGAATTCAAATTCAGCCAACCGTTGCATACTCGCCTCAACAAAACGGCGTGGCTGAACCACAGACAAACAGACATAACACATTGAATATTTCTTACTGTAAAACATCGTCGCTGACACATTACCGCCATCTGTTGAGTACACTGTGGTGGGTAGTACGCTGAACAGATGGCGGTAGTGTGTAAACGTCAAACTCAAGGGAAATGACTATGCGCACCACAGGTGGCGGTACTACCAACTACAATACTTTAAATTGACCGTTAACTGCTTGTTCGATGAACAACTTGCGAGTGTTATGCCTGTTTGTCTGTGGCTGAACGGTTCAACCGAACCCTAGTAGGAAAGGTGAGAACCATGCTATAGACCAAAGTTCATGTGGCCGGAGGCAGCACTTACTGGAACGTACTTGTTGAACCGGTGTCCTACTGCTGCTCTGTCGGATAATCGTACACCTGCTGAGCACTGGACAGGTGCGAAAGCTGATCCCTCCAAGCTGCGTATCTTTGGATGTAAAGCGTTTTCCTGTGTTCCAAGCCAGCTTAAGAAGCAGTTGGACAACAAGAGTCGGGAGGCGGTCATGATTGGCTATGCTCCAAATGGCTACTGCTTATGGAAAGATGAAGATGAAGGCTCAAAGGTTCCCTTAGTGATTCCCATGCTGTATCCCCCAGAGGGGGACAATTCGTCGGCCGAACAAGAAGCAGTAGCTGTTATCGAAAGCAAAACCGAAGATGAAGTCGATCCGGATACGCAAAGCACTGTTGATTTGGATGAAGAACTGAAGTGTTCTTCTCAAAGAATAAAGAAAGTTTGAGTGCTTCTAACTATACGTTTATTCAGGTTGACATCTACGCTTCGAATCACTAATTTTTCCATCTCGGTCGCAGCTGTTGGCTCACTTCTTCACTAAATCGTTGGACGTCGGACGATTTTATTGGACTATTCGGAAGGGCAAAGAAGTTCGACTGAACGGTTTAGCGGTAGACAAATGACTAAATTTTCTTTATTACAGGTATCACTTATATACTAGAACAGGGAATCACTGGTTGCTTCGATTCGGATACTCTAACACTCCTCCTCGACATCGAATGCTAGAATTCCTGTCGCTTCTCGCAGTTTATCCAACTTCACACTGGTTAACGGCTTCGTCATCATGTCTGCCAACATGTCTTCTGTGGGGCAGTACAGCAAACTAATGATGTTCTTGTTCTTCAGATCCTTGACGAAACAGTACTTCGTATCCACGTGTTTCGATCGCTGATCCACTTTCTCGTTCTCTACCTGCCGAATGCAGCTTTGATTGTCCTCACGTATGCAGATGGGATGATTGACTTGCTTCCCTAGGTCCTTCAGCAATTTCAGCAACCATTGCGCTTCCTGACAAGCCTCAGCCAGGGCGATGAATTCAGACTCAGTGGACGAAAGCGCCACACATGACTGCTTTCTTGATGCCCAACTCACAACGCCATTACCGAGGAAGATTAGAAATCCAGACGTTGATTTTCTATCTCGGGTGTCCCCGGCCCAGTCAGCATCGCAATAGACCATCAATGCAGCGTTCGATGATCCAAGCTGCACCGCGAAATTTCGTGTGTGGACAAGGTACCGCAGCACCCTTTTGGCTTCAATCCAATCCTTGGTCCTCGGTTTACTAACGGACCGTCCCAGAATTGAAGCGCTGATGGAAATATCCGGCCGTGAGTTTACCGCGATATATAGCAAACCTCCTACCAGACTTTGATAAAGGTCGCCTTTTGGTAGCTCCGCTGAATTCTCCTCCTTTTGCTGATATCCGGGATCCATTGGAATTTTCGAGCCCTTGGCTTCCGAGAGACCAAACTGGCCGGCAAGTTTCAATATGTATGCCTGTTGATTTAAACGGTAACCGTTGGCGGATTTAGTTACCTGAATTCCAAGGAACACTTGAATGTCGCCCAAGACTGTCAATTTGAAGCATCGTTGCAAATCGTGAACTACTTCACGGAACTCTATTTCGCTGTGGCACACGACAAGAATATCGTCAACATAGATGAGGATGAACGATTTCTGTCCCTTCGTTGTCCGGACGTAGAGGCACGCATCTGCCACCGACTGACAAAATCCAGCTTTCTTAAAGACATCGTCAATCGTCCGATTCCATACTCTTGCCGCTTGTTTCAACCCATATAGACTGCGATTGAGCCGGCACACGCCCGTTCCATTCGGACCCTTGGTTTCGTATCCTGGCGGCTGCTTCATGTAGACCTCTTCTTTTAAAGCTCCATACAAGTACGCCGTCTTGATGTCCAGGTGCTTCACCAGAAGCTTACGTTCTGCTGCGATGGTCAATAACGTCCGAAACGTAACTTGACGAGCTACAGGTGCAAAAACTTCATCGAAGTCGGTCCCATACTTCTGTGAAAAGCCTTGCGCAACCAGCCTGGCTTTATACCGGACAACGTTTCCTGTGGTGTCTTCCTTCTGCTTATACACCCACTTGCATCCAACGGGCTTGCGGTTCTCGGGCAGATCAACAATCTCCCAAGTGTCATTCTCCATCAACGACCGGAATTCCGCATCCATCGCTGCCATCCAATACTCACGATTGATCCCATTGATTGCTTCACGGTAGTTTCGTGGCTCTCGTTCGCCACTAGATGCTGCTTGGACTGTCTCACTATATCGAGCTGGTCGGATACCTTTCGTGGTTCGGCTCGATCTCCTGACTTGACATGTTTCATCGTCGTCGTCCTCGATCAATGTGGCATCTCCATCATCCGATTCGTCATCGTATTCTGAATCGTCCGACGAGATACTTGAGCTCTCATCGTTCGAATTTTCTTCCTCGATCTCACCGACTGGATTGACATCAGTGTTGATTGGTTTGCTGAATTCGAATTCAATCACCTCTTCCACTGGTAGCGATTCCACTGCCCGGTCCAAGGAACGCTCGGACACTTCCGACGCGGTGTGCTCCTCCTCAACGAAATTGGCATCTCGGCTGACGATTACTTTCCTTGTAGATCGATCCAAAAAACGATACGCCTTATGGTCCAACGAATATCCAACAAACGTTAGCTTCTTTGCTGTCGGATTCATTTTCTTGCGCTTTTGTTTGGGGACGTGAACGAATGCAGCACATCCAAATGCTTTCAAATGCGCTACGTCCGGCATTGTTCCAGTCCAAAGCTCGAACGGTGTTTTGGGAATTGACTTCGATGGTAACCTGTTCTGTAAATAGACAGCAGTACTTACGGCTTCTGCCCAGTAGCACTCCGGAAGCTTTGCATCGAATAACATGCAGCGACTCATCTCGACCAGGTACCGGTTCTTCCTCTCGGCGACTCCATTTTGCTGGGGAGAGTAGCTGGCGGTAAACTGTGGCTTGATTCCTTCTTGCTTGTAGAATTTCATCAGCTCGTTTCCGGTGTACTCACCACCCTGGTCGGATCGGATGGCTTTCGGCTTTCGTCCGAACTGGGTTTTCACGTATGCCACATATTCCTTCAGCTTCTCTGGAACCTCCTCCTTCTTCCGCAGCAGATACAGCACACAGAATCGACTGTAGTCATCAATGACGGTCATGAAGTACCGATAACCAGACACTGACTGATGCATTGTCGATCGGGCCACAAACGTCTGTGTGCACAATGTCCAGCATTGCACGAGATTTGCGTTCGACCGATTTAGGGAATGACTTTCTGCATAGCTTCGCTCGCTGACAACATTCGCATCCTTGCTTGACTCCGCAGTCGTACACCTTCAAGCCGCCCAACTAACAATTTTCACAATGTAAACGCTTTACTCATTTCATTTATACAGTCTCAAGCTGTATTCAAACGTTATACGATATGAGGAAACTTTTACTCAACCTCTATACAAGCAAATCTGGCGAACTTAGTCAGCTACTTATGGCTGTTGGAACGGTCGGGAGAAGCTCTTATTGCATATCCATTAACGCTTCTATACAGCTGTTATCCTGCTGTTTAGTTGTGTGTGAACTTGAAAGGCGCTTATTCAACCTTTTCCCGGTTATCCAATAATCACTACACAGCTTTCTCTTGAAGCCGGGTTAAATACTGTTTACGCTTCTTTATATCAAGGAATTTATTGAGTTTATTTTGCTGTGAATCAAAATTAATCGAAATTAGTTACAAATCATCACCAAATTATTTACCCTGCACCGGAACCTGGAATTGAACTCGAGACGACCTCATTGGCAAACCTTGACACTACCAACTGTGCTACGCCAACACTTTGAACTTATGTAAACAAATCAACATTCGCTTCTACAACAAAATCGCTGAGTAGAGGCTTTATAATAGCACACATGAATCACTTTTCTCGACTAGTTATAAAAGAGCAGAGTAAAAGCTGTAAAACTGCACACGTCTAAAAATAAACCTAGTTGACTGTGAAAATGCTTCCGAAGTTGCTCTTACACAGTTTATTAGCTGAGTACAGGTTGTTTAGTTGTTGAAAAAGCACTTTTGATGTTTATGTTATTCAACAAGAGTGGTTGGTTGTGTAGAAGCCATCAAATGAGTAACATATTCACTTTGTTAGCTTTGTTTTGCAGCTACAAGTTGAAAGTTGGGTAGTGTGTGTATAGAAGTGACATGAGCGTTTATTGGCTGATGTTATTCAGTGCGACTGACAAATTGAATAATGGTTGTGTGAAAGTTGAGTAAACGCTCTCCAAAACTATTTTGCTAGCTTTTGCTTGTAGCTGTATCTGCAGCTTCTTTTCAGCTACTTTACAGCACAACGCTGGAAAAGTTGGCTTACAAAGCTGAAAATGTTAGTTGGGCGGTCACCAGATTCTTCTTCAGCATCACGCTTAGAGCTTCAGGATCCCGATGTCCAAATCTTCGGTGCCAGACGTGCTGACAATCAACTTCGTGGTGGTCGTTCACAGCCATCGAAACTTCACAAGTCGTTTTCACCTTATAAAGGCCACTTGTTTTCTCGGCGACAATTGCCACGGTACCACCAACAAGAACACGACATCCTCCAGCGTCGAACATCACAGCAGCTCCCTTCTCTGTGAGCTTTGGCACTGACATCAGGTTCATTTCCAAGCTTGGAACAAACAACACGTTGCTTAGAGACACATCGGTTGTTTTTAACACGAAATTTTTCCGCTACCAGCACCTTCGACCTTCGCAACTTTTCCATCAGCCAGAGTAACGGTTTTCACTTGGCTCTTCTGGATTTCCTCGAAAAAATCGGAGTCACAGCACATGTGCGCGGACGCACCTGAATCCACAATCCATTCCGCATGGTCCGATTGCTCATGCACTCCCAAAGCAAACGTAACGGTTTCGTTTTCACTGCGCACGCTTTTCACCTTCGGGGATTTTTCCTTACCGTCAACCGATTCCTTCGCATACAGCCTGCATTCCGATTGCTTGTGTCCAGGTTTCTTGCAGAAATGGCACGTTAACGGCTTCTTCTTCTTCTTCTGGAATCCTGCTTTCATCGCTGAACTTGAAGAACCTTGACTTCGTCTCTTCGCCACTTCATCTAACAGCTTCCCTTTCACCAGCTCCAGTTTCAGCTCCTCATCGGACCGGCTTTCCAGGGCCGTGGTCAACGTATCGAACGAATCAGGCAGGCTCCTAAGAACGAGGGCGACCATTAACGCTTCACCCAGGTTCAGTCCAGCGCACGACAGCTTCGTGAACAACTCTTCCAGCTCGAAAAGATGATTCTGCATGTCGTCCCCGTCGTTGAATGATATGTTGCAAATCCGTTTCAGCAGCGCAACCTTGGAACAAAGGGATGTTTTTTCGTGGTGTTTCTTGAGGCTTTCCCAGGCTTCCTTGGCGTTCTTCGTTTCGCGAATCAGCATGTGTTGTTGGTCTTCGACAAGCAGCGCAATCGTCGCTCTTGCCTTCCGGTCACCGGATTTCCAGCCTTCCGTCACCGGTTCTGGAGCCGCGTCTTCGATGTACCGCCACAGGTCCTCCCTGGTCAGCAGCATCTCCGCCTTGAACTTCCAAACCGAATAGTTGGAATTGTTCAGTTTAACAACCGACACTTTGTTGCCTTCCATGGAACTTCCAGAATTTTCACACTGAAGTGAAAAAAAATCTTCAAACAAATTCAAACGTTGCTATGCGACGGTTGTCCTGGGCCCATAACCTATTAGACTATTCGGAAGGGCAAAGAAGTTCGACTGAACGGTTTAGCGGTAGACAAATGACTAAATTTTCTTTATTACAGGTATCACTTATATACTAGAACAGGGAATCACTGGTTGCTTCGATTCGGATACTCTAACAGATTTGAGGAACTTCGGACGATGCTGGGACTATCCAAGCGAGAGGGGGTGAAATCAAAGTAGTCGTTGGATTACCTGACCTGGTCACTCCTGTTATTTTTCGCTGTCATTCCAATTCAAGAGCTCGATGTGAGCAATTTAAGTTTGCTTTAATAAGACATTCTTTTGTTCGTTAAGTCCCGGCCTGTTCATTATTGCCCTGTCCTGTCCACGTAGTTCCTTCAAGGCGCGGCTACTTAGTCGCGCAAGGCTTCACGCAGAAATATGGAGTCGACTGGCAGGGAAGGCAGCGTACCTGAATGGAGACCTTCAAGCAGCAGTCTACATGCGGCTACCTCCCGGATGCACAGCGGATGGAGAAAACGTCGTCTGTTGTCTTCGCAAAAGATTACACGGGCTGAAGCAAGCCGTCCAAGAACGATTGTTGTCTCTACGTCAGGCAGAACAGAGGTAAGTTTTGTTTTGGGTTGCTGAAGAAAGTAACCACCTATGACTTAAATCAAAAAAGCTAGATCCCTCATTTAAATTAAAATGTGGACCACCCTAATCAGTTTTTTTTTTCTAAAAAGAAGACCCATTTAATTATAAACAACTTACACGAAGACACTAACCCCCTCTCAAATTAAAAGAAACGGACCATTTCGGACCAAAACGGTTATGAGGCTTTTGGAGGGTGCGCGAATGAACTCGAACATTGTCTTTGATTTACTCATTCAATTTAATTAAAAAAAAATACCACTAAAATGAGAAACTTACGACCTATACAATCAATACCAACATGCACAACTCTCTCCGTTCTAGCCATGCTTCGTCTTGCGCCACAGAAACACGCACCCGAGGATGTGAAACCCAAAGTAGATGACCACCATGGCCCAGATGTTCCTCCAGAGGTGCTCCTCGTTGAAGCTGTAGTGCGTCAGGACCGCCGTTCCGGTTCTCATGCACGGCAGGTTCGGGTCATCCACGAAGCAAGCTATAACAAGAAAATTATAAACCTTCCCCCTTTTAAATCAACGCCGGAAACCACTCACTGATATTGCTAACTCCCTCCCACTGCGCGATGGACATCGCTTCGTTGGCGTACATCATCCAGGAGATATACGGCGTCCACGAGATGACTTTCGGCATCGAACTCAGCTGAATAAACACGCCGGAGGTGATCATGAGGATGTAATCGAACGGCACCAGGTAGGCCATGGCCAGCGGAAGCGAATTGAAGGCAGCCGAGAAGAAGCATCCGCAGGCGGTCGATACGTTCATGACCAGCGTGGAGGCGATCACGGTGACCATGAAGGCTTCGAAAGTGGGGCGAAGTCCCGCCAGCCAGTACGCGACGATCACGAAGACCAGCGGCTCGAAGATCAATCCCGGGAGCATCGCCAACGCGTTGGCTACGTAGTACTGGGAGGTGCGGTACAGCCCGGACTTGGTTTCACGCATGAACAGGGGGAACGTATCCGGGAAGACGGACAGCACGGAGTACATCGGCGAGAAGGTGTTTTCCGACACGAAGATGAACAGGATTCCCTGAATCGCTTGAACACCGAGTTGATCGAGAGTGATAGCACCGGAGAAGCACAGTCCCGCCATGAGGGCGATGGCCTACAAGAAGAAATTCGTTAGCTGAAATGCGAAAGCTTGGTTTTTCGGGACAGTCTTACAATCTTCTGCAGCAGTCTGAGGTATTGAACGGTTGGATCCCGTACGACGGTGAGGAAAGCTCGGTAGGTCAACCAGAAGGTCGTGTGGATCCAGTGTGGTTTGCGGGAAAGGTGCGATTCTTCTGTTATCTTGAAATCTCCCGTTTCAGCTATGTGCATTTCCAGGTTGATCAGGACGTCTCGCTGTCCGGCAGTTTCGCTGACGGCGAACAGGTCGCACAGCCGCTGAGCAGAACGCTGCGAGGCCTTCTCGTAGCCCGGAGCAGTGGCGAGCACACCGATCAGGAATTCGGCCGGATTGTAGTTCGACGGGCAGCTGTATCCGTGCTGTTCGAAGAATATCAGACCGTCGTTGGGCTTGCCGGCGTAGGCCACGCGTCCATCGGCCATCAGCATGACCTGATCGAACATGGAGAACAGTTGACTCGACGGTTGATGAATGGTGCAGATGATGGCAGTTCCTCGCTTGGCCAGTAGCTGTAGCGTTGAGACAAGGTTTTGAGCACTGAACGAGTCCAGCCCGGTAGTCGGCTCGTCACAGAACAAGATCGTCGGTTTGGTCAGCAGTTCCGTTGCGAAGGCCAAACGTTTCTTCTCGCCACCGGACAACATTTTCCCCTCGCCGACCTCACCGATTCGCGTATTGGCACACTTGGTCAAACCGGTTCGCTCCAGTAGCTCCTCGATCAACCGATCGATCTTACTCTTACTCACGCCTCGGTCCAACTTGAGCTTCGCCATGAAGTACATGTGCTCCGTCACCGTCAACGAGCCCACGAAAAGATCATCCTGATGCACGAACCCACTCAATCGGTACATGTACGGCCCAATCGGTTGACCGTTCACCAGAATGTCCCCCTGCACGACGGTTCCAGCTAAAATGCAAATGCACGACCAATGAGATCAACCCAAATTTACTCATAAATCGCAAAAAGTTCAGTTGCCTCATGTTTTTTTTGTTCAGGAAAAAATCGTGAATATGAGAAAAGTAAAGATTGGATGCTAGATTGAGTAAAATTTTCCGGCAGATTTCGAAGGTTTTCCATGAGGCAAATTTACTCATCGGTGAGTTCCTGCACTTTTTGCAATTTACGAGTAAACTGAACTCAAATTTGGGTTGATTGGCCGTGTGAACAAATCACTTTTCCTGTACATGACATTTATAAGGTTTCTTACGCTGCATTCGGTAGGCTAGCGCCGACATGAGCGTACTTTTGCCCGCTCCACTCGACCCCATCAGCGCTATTAACGTCCCCGGAGTTACGGCACCGCTCACGTTGTTGATGATCCGTTTGATCGGTCCTCGACCTCCGGATCCACCATACTTTCCGGTCGCATAGACGCACAAATCCCGCCACACCAGCGTGGCGCCCTGCTCCGTCGGCGACCATTTGTTGTAGCTTCGCAGCGTCGATTGGTAGCACCGGGAACCGCCCATTTGATGGTGAGTGGTCGCAATAGTGCCACCTACCGGCGAAAGGCACGAAACCGGTGGCGGCAGTGCAGCAACAAACTGTTGGCACTCGAAGCTCTCGGTGGTGCTGTTCAGGGAACCGGACTTATTCCTCTTGCCGCTACCTTTCACCATACTTGCGGCCATGCTAATGCAAGCCACGGACATTGTTAGAACCAGGAATGAGGGAAGAACCGAAAACTCTGCGAACTGCACCGTTTGCCGAACCGAACTAGACTGATATGGGAAACCAAACCGAGCTCATCGGAAAGCACACTCTCCCTCTCCGTTGCAGGCCATGTAATCGATAGCTGGTGCCGCTCTCAGCGTTCCTGTCCACCCTCCTTCGGTGCGTGAGTGGGGAATCAATAGACCTCATTCGTAGGAGTAGGCACCGCAAATGTGTGTGGCATTGGAAGGTTGCGGTCGGAATCCGGTGAACTGTCGTCATCGGGACGCCCTGGCTCGAAGCATGCAATGATCATCTCTCGTTATTATTCGATGACTTATTCCAATCTGAGTTAATGAGGCTCTTTTATAATTAAGTCGGATTTATTGCGAAAACCTTAATGCAGCAGCAGCAGCATAATTTTCAAAGCCGTCAGCCAAGGCAGGTAATTCGATACTCGGTGAACATAATTTTTCAAACTTCTCCTTTGCGAGCCCCGGCGTTTGCCTTGTCGAAGGTGAATGGTGTAAGCACGAACCGAGAGAATCCGTAGAAGAGTCATGCATTCGGTATAGTTGGTATGTTATGTTTTGTGTCTATATGTGGACAGCTTTGGCCACATTGTTTCAATGCAAACAGAGTCTGAATCCTACAACTTATCTGAAAGGAGAGCGATGTGTTTAGTAAATTTCATGTGAAGAAAGTTATGCGGGAAGTGATGTAGAACTCAGAGCTCCCGTTGAATTCCCAGCATATTTTTCCTGGGTATTCTCTTCAAAATTCGTGGGAAGATATCGTCCAGAACTCGATTCCAGTGAAATTCTTCTCAGAGATCTTTTGGAATTAAGTTGAATACTCTTCAGGATTCCCATGAATGCTCTTCAGAATACACTTAAAATTGTCCGTACAATCCTCATGGAATTTTTCTCGTAATTATCTTAGAATACTATTCAGCAACAGCGCCATAGCGAGGGTTTGCCACGCCCCTTTCCTAATCGATTTAATTGATCCAAGCGCCAGGTTTTGAACTAGAGGGCGACATTTGTTTTGGAGTCTTCAGCCTGGGATATCCATTTTTTCTAAGTCTAATTACTCGAAATGAGAGTACAAATTGCCCAATATCATAAGGATTCACACCCCAATGCCCCCTATTCTGCGAGTCATGTGACTCTCTCTCACCGGTGAGGTGACAATAGTCATTTGATTTACATGGAGAGTCACCTCACACGAGGTGACAATTGTCACCTCACCGGTGACAGAGAGTCACGTGACTCGCAGAATAAGGGGGAAAAGGTCTGGGTTCAATCCCAGCCGAGGTCCGTGGGATTTTTCTGAGTCATGGGTTTACATGGGTGCGATATCCTACGCAGGTGTGGAAGCTGCCTTCCTGCACATTTTATTGCCGTCAATGGATGACAATCGATGTCCGTCGGTGCTTGGCACTAGATTGCGGAACAGAGACCGACGTTAAATAAAGGAAAGTAGTAGAAGAAGAACAAGAAGTTTCGGTTGAAAGATACAACATTTGGTTCGAATAAAGCGGGCGAGAAATTGGTTCATTACCAGGTCACGGCGATAGTAGTATCCACCAACATTCACAACGTACGAGCAATTAGCTTCCGAATTACGGTTTTTGGAGTCCAACTTGTATCCGGCTGGAGCTGCACATAGATCGGCGAACCCGTCTCCACAGCAGGTAGAGCTCGTGATTTCCAATCGTAGTAGATATGTACTTCATCCTCTTTTTATTTTCCAGAATATCTTCCGGGACGTTTATTACCACATTGGGGCAGTATTATTCTGCTACATCTGGGACACCGCATCTGGTGCTCCGGGAGAAAAGTCTTGCAGGACTGCTGCCGATTTTGTTCGGTATATTTCTCCAATATAGAAGAACATATCAAAAGCATCTGCTTTCTGGATCAGCTGCTTTACTATCTTCACGGCGGCCGGAGCATTGTCGTGGGCTTGTTGGTGATTTGGAATGGTCATTTCCTTCATTTCCTGGCAAACAAAATTGGTTCCGTTATCTGATATGACTAGCTGGGGACCTCCATGGCGTGCGAAGTAAATCTGACAGGTCATCACAAGGCAGCAGGCTGACAAGTCCTGCAGTATGTCAACCTTGATGTAGTCGGCATAATGATCGACCGTAACAAGAAGGTTTCTGTGTTTGCCCCCGTACTCCACGGAAAATACGTCCATCGACACAATCTGGACTGGATACACGAGAACTGCAGTACTCTGCATAGAGGCTTTGCTTAGTTGCTGGCGAACTTAGCACACGGTGCATTCTATAATGACATCCACTATCTGGGAGCTCCCTTGCTAGTCGATTCAATCCCGTTGTGACTAGTGTGCACCTTGTCTACCATGAAAAAAAACTAGGAATAGCGATCCTATCTTTCGCCACTGGAACATATTCGATCGAGTTTGTCCAGCCGTTACAAATATAATCGATGACCTTCACAAGAGCAGGATCTTCAGCAGTCGCTTCGATGATGGTGCCGGGTACACACCACTTTTCTCTTGATGGCTTCGAGAATGGGGTGTCCGCAGTTCATTTATCCTCCACAGTGAGTTCAAAGTTGAAATACTATTTTAGCGCAGGAGTTCCAACAATCTATAATAAGAAACTCACCTTCTTGGGAGCCGGCATCGCGACAGTTGTTCATCCCAATCAATGGCAAGAGGAAGTGGAACGTTGGGTGATAGCAAAGAAGAATACTAAGATGAAGCCGTCGGAAGAAAAACCTTGTATTTTAGTGTCCTCTTTCAAGGTCCCTTTCATCCAATGAATACCCCTCGTATGCAAGGTAATTTTATGGTTATGCTGTCCCCTCAGTAGAGTTGAAGTTTTGCGCTTTTTTGTAATTACTCGATTAATAACAAAGATTCAAAAATTTAAACTAAAGTTCCAGCAACTTGATCGGAGTTCAATTTGTTTAGCAATGTTCCGAAAACTTCTGAAAAGTTTCAATATTTTCAGCAAAGCTCCAAAACCGTAAGCGCAGTTTAAAAAAAACTACAAGGGACAGCTCTATGGGGTTGTACGCAATGGTGACGTAGGACTACGTGTTCTTATATAATAAATCTTATTTGTTAACTGCAGCAGGAGCTTGTGTTTTATGTAGCAATAGGAATTTGAGCGGGGTTCTATCTGTTTATACTCTTTAGTATGACGCGCTTGGCATAGATGGCCCACAGCGACTCACGAAGAGCTACTGATTCCGATCAATAGCGGTGCGGCTTCTTCCTCCTTCTATGGATGCTCATGTGGGCTGCAGCTCGCTGCTTGAAGGCAGCCTTTCGTTGTGTACTGGAGAACAATGTTGAACGCCACGCGCCGAAAGCACTGCTGCTGCTGATGCCGACGACCGGACATTACCAAACCCGGTAATTGGAACTGAATTCAATCAGCGGTTGTGGACAGCCTTGATAGCTAGCTGCTTGCAGGGAGCCTTTCGTTATGTACTGGAGAACACCATCACTCACCACGCGGTGATGGTATTTAACTTTGAATCATCATAGCAACAGTTGCACATTCGTGCAATTTTCAAAAGTGACATTTTGAAAAATGATAAAGTCTTAAATTTAACAGATGCGTAGAAATATTTCTGATCATCGATTGACGATAAAATTATTGAAATTGGTCCAGGGGCAGCTGAGTTTTCATAATTTCGTTACATGTTCCATTTTCGGTTTTCAAAAAGTGTACCTCCATATAGAAATTACAGACGTAGTCATACGTCAAAATTAGCATACTCTGTATATCTTCAGCAAAAAGCCTAACTTTTCTCCGATTCGCAACAGTTTTATGATTATCTTCATTGTAGAATATACCAGAATAAACAAGAACAAATTAAATATCTTTAAATAACACATCAACTTAAAGCTTGGTTGTATAAACAAACAAAAACAAAAAAAAAAAGAAGAAAGAGAAGAAAAGAAAAATAAATGCTAATGATGAATTATTATCACGATAAGCCTTTTTGAGAACTTCTACCTTTCATTCCATGCGACCTTATCTGAAAGCGGAGAATACCTATTCTGCCTAAAGAGGGGAAATTAGAAAGCTCCCTGATTGGTGATTAGCAAATAGAGGCGAAATTAGATGGGGTATAAATACGAGGTACCTGTGATCGCTAAGCTCATTCGCTGCCAGACTGTTGAGCAGTTCAGTCGATTTGAATTCTCTCTAGTTTCGTTCGTTCGTTCGCAAGTCGAATTAGCTCCGCGTTGTGTAGTGACGCTCTCGCTGACCCAGCCATGGGTAAGAAATCGCGCGGTAACGCGAGTGCCGGTTTACCGGGAAAACAGACTCTCCCAGGAGACGGCGCGACCACCGAGCCAGCCCAGAAGAAGCAGAAGAAAACCCCATTGCCCATCCCGACAGGCGTTGCGGACCCGCAGCCGGGGCCTCCCGGAACTAAACGACCCAGACCTGAAGACAGCAGCGCCACCGCATCAGCAGCAAAAAAGCTGCTGAGCAACAATCCGTTCTCGGCCCTGCAGAACGGAGCCCAGCCGTAGTCGGACCCTGAGACGGTGCCGAAAAAAGTTAAGTTGCCACCCTTCTATGTGAAGGGCTTTCCTCCCGGGCTATGGGAGCAGCTGGATTTCTACATTAAGCAGGGCCTTCGCTGCACCATTCAACGGTGCACGGAAGGCTACAAACTGATGGTCCCGGCCGAAAAACACTTCAACGCAGTTCAGGCCCTCTTGGACAGGATGAAGCTGGAGTACTTCTCCCACGACATCGAGGCCACCAAGCCGCTGAAAGTGGTGCTGCGCGGGCTCCACGACATGGACACCACCACCTTAATGGACGCGATTAAGGCGAACGGCCTCAAGCCGGTCGAAGTCCACAAGATGACCCGCAGCAAGGCCATCAAGTATCGTGACCAGCTCTACCTGGTCCATCTGGAGAAGAACTCCACAACCGTGAAGGATCTCCAGACGACACGCACACTGTTCCACATCGTAGTGAAGTGGGAGCGGTATAAGC